ACACACACACACACACACACACACACACACACCTGTGCTAGTTGAGAGCCACGGGCCTCTCACACGATTCTGGTTTTCTCTCCATCCTAGTTCACAGTAGAAATCACCTCTCCCTTAAAGACAGAATTTCCAATTACCCAGAAAAGTATGGTTTTGGTCTTTTTGGCTTCTACCAGATTACCCTACCACTGTGTTTGACAGTAACCCCAAACACCATACAAGAGATAATACATTATACTGTAAATAACAAGGGCTTTCATTATAGTACCTAAACAGTAAACTAAGGAGCCCTGGTGGTGCAATGGTTAAGCATTTGGCTGCCAACTGAAAGTTCAAACCCACCCAGTGGCTCTGTGGGAAAAAGACCTAGCAATCTGCTTCCATAAACATTACAGTGAAGAAAAGCCTGTGAGGCAATTCTACTGTATGATATGGGGTTGCCAGAAGTCAGAATTGACAGCAGCCAACAACAACAAACAGTAAATTACTATTATCATTTTATAGGTTAGCTTACTGGGTTTCAGAATTGCTTGAGTCACATCTTCATAAGTTGTTTTTAGGTGCCGTCAAATTGTTTCCGACTCGTAGCGACCCTATGTACAATAGAAGGAAACCCTGCCCGGTCCTCCGCCACCCTCATGATTGTTGTTATGCTTGAGCCCATTGTTGCAGCCACTGTGTCAGTCCATCTCATTGAGGGTCTTCCTCTTTTTCACTGACCCTTTACTTTACCAAGCATGATATCTTTCTCCAGAGACTGAGCCCTCCTGATAATGTATCCAAAGTATGTGAGATAAAGTCTCGCCATCCTTGCTTCTAAGGAGCATTGCTGCTGTACTTCTTCCAAGACAGATTTGTTTGTTCTTCTGGCAGTCTGTGGTATATTCAATATTCTTCGCCAGCACCACTATAAAAAGGCGTCAATTCCTCCTTGGTCTTTGTTATTCATTGTCCAGCTTTCGCATGCATATGAGGTGACTGAAAACACCATGGCTTGGGTCAGGCGCACCATAGTCTTAAAATGGCATCTTTGCTTTAAAGAGGTCTTCTGCAGCAGGTTTGTCCAATGCAGTGTGTTGTTTGGTTTCTTGATTGCTGCTTCCATGGGCATTTATTGTGGATGCAAGTAAAATGAAATCCTTGACCACCTCAGTATTTTCTCCGATTATCATGATGTTGCCTATTGGTCCAGTTGTGATGATTTTTGTTTTCTTTATGTTGAGGTGTAATCCACTGAAGGCTTAGTCTTTGATGATCATCAGTAAATGCTTCAAGTGCTCTTCACTTTCAGCAAACAAGGTTGTGTCATCTGCATATCGCAGATTGTTAATGAGTCTTTCTCCCATCCTGATGCCTTGTTCTTCATATAGTCCAGCTTCACTGACTGTTTGCAGAGCATACAGATTGAATAAGTATGGTGAAAGGATACAGCCCTGATGTCCACCTTTCCTGACTTTGAACCATGCAGTATCCCCTTGTTCTGTTTGAATGACCACCTCTTAATCTATGTACAGATTCCTCATGAGCACAATTAAGTGTTTTGGAATCCCCATCCTTTGCAACGTTATCTATAATTTGTTATGATCTACACAGTCGAATGCCTTTGCATAGTCAATAAAACACAAGTAAACACCCTTCTGGTATTCTCTGCTTTCAGCCAGGATCCACCTGACATCACCAATGATATCCCTCGTTCCACGTCCTCTTTTAATCTGGGTTGAATTTCTGGCAGTTCTCTGTCAATGTACTGCTGCAGCCACTTTTGAATGATCTTCAGCAAAATTGTACTTGCATGTGATATTAATGATATTGTTCGATAATTTCCGCATTCGGTTGGCTCACCTCTCTTTGGAATAGGCATGAACATGGATCTCTTCCAGTCGGTTGGCCACACAAATGTCTTCAAATTTTTTGGCATAGATGAGTGAGTACTTCCATAGCTGCATCCATTTGCTGAAACATCTTAATTGGTATTCCTCAATTCCTGGAGCCTTGTTTTTTCGCCAGTGTCTTCAGTGCAGGATGAACTTCTTCCTTCAGTACCATTGGTTCTTCATCATATGCTACTTCCTGAAATGACTGAACGTTGACCAATGCTATTTTTATCTGATTTTTCCTCAAATAAGTTGGTGTCAAGTGCTTTATCTTTAATCTCACTAATTCTGACTTCCATTGTCTCAGTTCTGCTCCTGTGTCTCTAATTCTGAAATTTTATTGTTAATC